TGCTTTGGGGAGAAAAAAAGAAACTGGTTTATGAGTAAACTAAACAGCATTAAAAAAGAAACTAACAGAGTTGAAGACAAAGAATTTGGAGTAAGAAGGATGATCATTTAAGTATTTTATAGACATGTGTGCCTCCTACAGAAAATGGCGAGAGAGACAACACATGGAGACAACCTCAGAAGGTAGAAATAATTTCCCTGTATGTTTGACTTATTTAAAATGACCACAACCTTTGAGAATATTGCATACATTGCTTTTGTGTGCCAAATAAGCAAGAAATGATGGCTAGCTAGTATGCTTCTTAAAAGGCAGCCAAATCAAGATTTCTAGAGTTTTTATTTTTCTAAAGGAATCACCTTGTGTTTTACTTCATGATTCTTCATTATGTCAAAAAAAAAAAAAAAAGAAAGAAAGAGAGGGGAAAGCTTAACTGGGAATGAAGAGATCTCTGAAACGATCTTTGCTGTGCCAATAGTCAGTATTAACCCACATTCTGACTTACTTTTCATTGAGAGACATGGCTAAACCCCCAAATATGAATCTATCATAGCTCTCTGAAGAATAATGTGTGTATTGCATATGCATGACATCATGGTCAATGACGTTTTCCAAGCAGATTACCTAAAAATCCCAAGGCCATTTTAAATAAAAACTACTGGTAATTTTCAGTATCCAAAGAATAACTATGATACAGAAATTGCCTACCATCTGCATATCAATCTGTTTAGAATTGGAATTGATAGTATATATATTACAGCTCTGCCCCATTAGCTTTCTAACCTTAGCAAAGTGATGTAACCTCTCTGCCTCAAATTCCTTATCTACAAAATGCAATAATATTATATATATGATAGTTCTGTGATGAGGATCATATAAATTCATATAAAGAGAGAGTTTGGAAATGTGCATCGCAAATAGTTACCTATAAGTGTTTATATTACCATTATTAATGTTATTAATTAGTATATTTAGAGGTCGAATATTTGTATTCCATTGTAAATTTATGAAGTAACAAGTCTCTCATCTTTAGAACTGCCAGGTAGAGTTAAACACAAATTTAAAATAAGATATTGTATAAGTTACTTAAAAATGGAGTTAGAAAAAACAGGATGTTTTTCTTCCTTTAAACCAATGTTTCCCCAGCATATTAGAGTTCATAAATTATTCTGAAACACACTTACAAATTTGGAAGAGTTAATGTGCTAGAAGTATGTTTATTCTCAAATAAAAGAAATTTCAGATAAAAGCTCATTTGAGGAAAAAACAAGCAACTTTGCTTTGAAATTTTTATCAAAATCTACTATAGTAAATATATGTCTTTGGTTGGGTGGCTGGTCCTAAAAGAGTGTGTGTGTGTGTGTGTGTGTGTGTGTGTGTGTGCGCGCGCGCGCGCGCATTTTTCCCAAAAATGACACTGGAAACTCAAGAGCTCATATCATTTTTTAAGAGCTCAGTTTTTAACCCAAACCCGCCTAGCTCAGTCTACATTTCTCCACATGTGCCTCTTTATTTGGTTATGCTTGCGATCTCTTTGGCATTTCCTTTCCCATGTATTAGAAACTTAAAAGGGGATAATGAAAAAAACCTCAGGAAGTACTAATGGGAAGGGGTGAGTTCAATGTGGGGGTCTAGGCAGCCAACTGTGACCCAGCACTAAGCTCTGGGAATGTACTGTACGTCGGCAAGAAGGCTGCATTATGGTGCAATGAAAGAAGGTAGAATAAGCACCCAGCAAACTCGGCCCAAGGCCCCAGGTTTAGCAAAGGTTTAGTAAAGAAGGTAAGTCATAGTCACCTCATACTATCCCCTTGGGCCTTTTAAAGATGTGCTGAGACCTATGATGGCTGCACTATTTAAGAGAACAAAAGGGAAAGTGACAGTTCTCTCTTTTGGGAATTTCACCAAAAGGCACTAATGGGACATATCACCAAACAGCCAAAGCATATTCTAATTCCAGCTGAGGAAGAGGGTGGCATAGAAGACCGTACAAACAGAGCTCTAGCGTGATCTCTGCCCCGCGTGAAAACTTCCGTCTTCTACCACATCTGCCTTCTCTCTCACCTCTCCTCTTAGCTATAGGCAAAGGGCGGCCAATATTGTTCCAACTCCATCTTAAGGGTGAACGTGACCATCCTATTCTGGAACAGTGTAAGTTTGTTCCCATCCAATAAGCACTATGGTTGGATTAGGGAGCAAGAGAATAACAGGTTTTAGCAAGAATTTTTCATTTAGGGCAATAGGCCATTAAGAGTAATTAAAATGTGGGTTTTCTTCATTAACGCAGTATCTGCGCAGGTGGGCGGGGCCGGCCTGGAAGAGCTGGTTTAGCACAAAGCTCATTGAGGGGAAAGGCTTAGCAGAAGGTCTAGAAAAGTCAGAGGAAATCATAAGACTGCACGGGACAACTTCAAGTCTTCAGAGGTCTAAGTGATTACTTTCGACAGTGTGCTACTCTAGGGGGAAAAGGAAAGTGTTATCACCACTTCTTTTTCATTATCTTTTGTTTGTAGAGATGAGTGAAGATTAAGATTACAGTAAAATGCAAAGGATGTTAGAATAGGAAAGAACCTTATTATTAAGGTTAACCTTATTAGTCTTACGAAGATGCCCATATATTCTGGCCTCCCCAGGGCAGTCTTACTTTACATCACTTTTTACAGAATTATTGGTAATGGCGCCCCCTTCCATTCTCAGGAATGTGCTAATTAGATGATAAGTTATATGGCTATGCTATCTACAATAAACTGCCCTCAGGTTACCAATAGGGTCCACCGGGCATACAGGCTGAACACATGAGTAACTGCTGAATGTCGAAGTCACTGCTTTGGGCACTTTACCAGGCTACCCTCTCAAAGTAAAAGGCTGGCGATTCAACAGAAATATATAGACATGTGGGACTTGTAGATTTCACTAAAGGGCAATGAAATGACATCACCACTTTTGAGCTGCCCAAGTCACTGCAATTTACAGAAGAGGGAAAAACATTTTGAATGTGCAAATTGTAATCTACTGTTATCTCCACCCCGAGGGAAAATTCACTCAGTTGTCCACATCGGCTATATGTCCTTTTTTAGCTACATGCTGTGGTGTTGGAAACTAGGTGTTTCCATCCCTGTCTCAGGCATGTGTGAGCATCCTGTTGCCAGGCTCGGCGCTTTCATGTCCACTCGTAAGTACGTACTAGCATTGAAATTAACCTGCCGTGGCACGAATTTTTCAGTTTAGAACTGAGGATGGTAATACATAAGTTAAACCATTTTATCTGTCTTCCTTAGAAACTTAAGCTGCCAATAATTTTCTTTTGATTGATCTTACCAACTTAGTATTTTAATTTTTAGTTCAAGCGTGCAAGAGTACAAAAAAAGTTATTTTTAAATTACAAGACTGGTTTCCAAAAAGCTAGAACTCTAATTATATACATTTGTTAATGGTAATAAAAACCACCTTATTTCCCACTGAAAATGAAGACATAGTTTATAAAAAGGATGTAAAAAAAACCATGAGCACTAATAAAAGTTTGCATATTAAAGACAATTTCTTGAAATTTGTAATATAAAAGATATGCTATACCCATGAAATTACAAAATAGTTCCACAATGCCCATCAACATTGCTAAGCAATCAATAAAATATTGGGTTGTTGGAAAAGTCATGACGCATTTTTTGCAACGAAAAACATAGAAAAAATACCTCATGACTTTTCTGACAATCCAATAGATTTTACAGAAAAGTTTATGTCTTAGTAACTGACACCAAATCACTCTTCTCAAAAAAATTACTAACATTAATAATATAAACTAATTTGCTGATAATTTCTAACATAACTCTATCTTGTGCTTTTACCACAAAAGGGAAATATTTGTTTCTCTTTAAGAAATCTTTGAAGAAATTGTTTAAAGCTCTAATAATTTATTTTATTGGCATATATTCTGATAAGTTTTTATAGTAACTTCAAAGAATAAATAACTAAGGATGATGTATACACTTAGGTTATATATGTGTATATGTGTGTGTGTATCTAAACACACAGGTATATATATATGTGTGTGTGTATATATATATATGTATATATATATACACACATATATATGTATATATATATATATATATACACACATATATATATATATAGTTGGACTAATCCTTGATTTATGTTTAATAATTTTTTTTAAGGAATTTAGAAAGTGGCCCCTATATGAGACTCAAGTTAAATAATAATCTGAAAGTAATTGTTGTCTCTTAGGAATTTATGATAATTGACTATTTTTAATGAACAAAGATAGCATTGCATACATTATTATAAGTTAATGAATTATGCATATTTAAAACTGTTTCCTCATGAATTTGCATCGATTTAACTACTCTACTAATAAACTCTGTTAACTATCTTTCTGGTTAACAATGTATTTGCAAGATTCTTTACTAAGGTTAAGTACATATCCTGTAATTACAAAATAAATGGTAGGCAACCAGCCCACATGAAACAAACCCATTTATTTTCACCACATCTTTCATCTGTCAAGTTAAAATAAGTAACCCAAAATTTCTTAAGTTAATATCATAAGTTTAGAAAACTATCAAAACAGAAAAATATACGGTGACATAAATAAGAACATCTTAACTAAATACGTATCATCCCTTTATGTCATTTTCATGTTTGTACAATGATTTTGTACTAGATTAGGAAATAGTAAGGTTATAATAATTCAACACAAGGACAGAGACTGTTAAAGAAACAAATATTTCCCTTTATTTGATTACATTACATCCACTCATGGGACATTCAAAGTGATTGAAATTCTTAATTTACAGGCCTCTAAATAATGCTATTTAACTGGAATTCAACAGCAAATAGCGTATATTTGAAAAGCTTACTTGTGGAAAGTAATTTCCACACTGACCCAGTTTAGTAGAGTATAACAGTAGATTCAGAATTATCAGCATTAAAGAATCAAAATAGTAACAGTCAACAGTATTTTATCAATACTGAGTTTGCCTTACTCCTTCGCCAGCTGCACACTCATAGGTTTGGCTCCGATGGGTATCCCATGTTTGTGCAAAGTGCTAACCAAAATCTCCCTCATGTCGTCATTGTAGGAATCAAAGTCGAACACATTCCTAACCACACTGGAGAGACCTTCGGTGGGAAATTTCTGCATTAAAAAAAAATTCCTTTATTACACAGGTGATAAAATATACAGTATCATAAAGGTTTACAAAATTGATAGAACAATAATGATCAAATGAACATTAGTGGACTTTTACTCGCCTTGTCAGATAACCAGATGGGAGGAATATATACATTTTTCTCTTTCAATGCTTGCTCTGATGACTTAAGATTTTCCTCTCTAAATAAATATTAGAATTGGAGGGGGAACACTTCCTTCTCTCAAATGTTAATACGGGGCTCAGATCCTGGCGCTCAGGGACTTCCACTGCTTCCTGAAATTTCCTGCCTTTAAAATGAGTATCAGACTGACCAAATAAAAAATGCTATTTGAACAGTGTTGAATATTTATATGGAAGTATTCAGAGAAGTCAGAGGTCTACGAATAAATGAAAAAAAAAAAAAAAGAATGGAACAAGAAGAGAAGCACCTAACAAGCACAGAGCATAGACACACAGGGAACAGCAGCGGGAAAGAAAACAAGTATTAATTACTAACAGCTGAGTTAACACTGGTCATGTCCTCTGAGTCCTTCACTGGCTCTGTCTTGATTTTCTTCAGGCACTGGGGTCTGAGCTGGACTTAACAGCTTTATAGGCAGAATAAAGCTTTCTATTTTCCTTTCTAGGTGTTCCTTGGAGGGTTGGAGATGGGGCAAAGGTCAAGAGTCTTTAGGTTATGACAGCTTAAAGACCATTGTTTGTGATACACAGAATTTACATAGGTTTTTGTTTTGTTTAGTTTTCTTTACCAAGGTAGACTACACATGGCATGCGGCTGCAGGGAATTTCATTTCCTGTTCACTTACTCTATCTTATAAAACTTTCCTGCAGTAGTTACAGGTATACAATCAATACTGTTAGTTCCGAGTCGTGCCATCTCCAAGCCTCGTTTGCAAAATGGAAAGCTTTTTCACTCAGCTACCACACATGCTTGTTGTATAAAAGTCAAAGAGTAATCAAGTTGCCCAGCGGTCTCACTCTGTCTTCCCGACCCCCCAAAAACCTCCACCCATTTCCTGGCTCCTCAGTAGTGGCCATGACACAGAACTCTGCCAAAGTCAACTCAAAGTTAAATATAAAATGTCCATTGGTTTTCCAGATTTCAAATTCAGATTACAAACACTCACACTGTATCCTCTGAATCAGTATTACATTTATAGAAATTGAAAGACTTGGTATAAATTAAACAGTCAAAACCAAACAAGGTTGGCGGCTTCTTGTAAACCTTTACGCACAGGTGTGCGCCTTACCTGTAAGTGCTTCACTATGTTGACCACTTCTCTGGTAGAATAAGGATAGTTGATAATCCCCTGGTCCGCTAAGCTCCGCAGCTCGCCAAAGGCAGCCACGAGCTTCTGCAGGACGGGCTCCGGCACGTTTGGTCCATATTGCCTGAGCATCTCGAGCTCCGAGTGGGGTTTGGGATTATCCACAGCATGGCAGCTAAAAATATCGCCTACAGGAGAAAAACATTCACATTCAGCATGCGGCTAATCCATGATAACGCCACAGGAAATCGGGAATGGTCACTGAAAGAGCCACTGGTTGCTCACCAAAGCACTTCTATTGTTAAGTGTGTAAACCTGCACAGAAAGCCCATCCAACAACAGGATGATGTAGAGAAGAAAGCAAATGACTAAAGCAACAGAGAAGGGAACTGAATGATGTGTAGTTTATTCCACATAGGTTTATTTCTGTTAAAAATACATACTACTTGCATACACTCTCATTGAGAGATACTTGGACACCAAGAGCAAAAGAGAGAAGTCCCACTTGTGTCTCTGCCAATCCCACTGGCTCCCCCATAGCACCCCATGTTAACAGGTCAGTGTACTCATTCCACACCTGTACTGGTATTTTTTAAAAACACACACATACAAACATATACAGCTTCGGTGATTCAGTCCTTTTCCATTTGATTGGAAAATAATCCTCATGTGGTTCTGAGGCCGCATTTTTAACTTGAATAGATGTTGAATACCTTCAGAAATTATACACATCTAGCTCATATGCATGTTTCTCTATGTAGGCTTAAAAAGGGGGAATTACCATCGTCGCTCTCTAAATAATTTATATCATGCGCAGACTGCTAGAATATACTTTAGAAGTCAGTTTTGGAAAAGTAAACCTGCGAAGACAGGTTTGAATCTAAATTAGAATCAAGAAAAAGGAACGCAGAAACACAAAATTTCCATCTGCAATTTAGGCAACTGGGAATATACTAGAAAAATATAATCTGTGCTCAAGAGAGATGATTTTCTCATGCTGAGTGTTCATATAATTCTGCTGATTTATAATCCAGGAGACCAGCGACAAAAGGAAGTTTAAGTCAATAAATTTGCATTATTTGTTATGTTCGTTTTAGAAAGAAAGGCCATCTAGATCGTCTTTTGACATAGAAACCATCTGAATCATTATTTTATCCTTATTACACAGTTATAAAGGCAACTGAATAAAATGTGAGCTATCATAACTTCGAGCTTGTATCTCATATATAGACCAGCTCGTTCAAATACAAATGTAAAGAACAGCTGTTGCCTGTTTTGCTGAAAATCAAACGTAACACCCATGTAAAGCTGTAATTGACCCCTCATTCATTCATTCATCAAGTAATTATTAAATGTCTTCATGTGTCAAGTGCTATTCTAGGTACTTTATATACATCAGTGATCAACAATATAAAAATCCCTGTCCTCGTCGAGTTTATACTCTGGCACAAGGAAACAATAAATATACTGGGTTGTCGGAAATGTCATGACGCATTTCTGCAACGAAAACCAGAAAAAATACGTCATGACTTTTCCGACAACCCAATAAATGATAGAGATCGAGTGTTTCAAAGAAAAAGAAAAGCACAGTGTAGGACATGAGAAGTGCTGATGGCGGGCAGGCGGGTCTCATGTCTGCAAACGCAGGTCTCTAGGGGACGAGCGGTCCAGGCCGAGGAACAGCTAACGCAAGTCCTATGGCAAGCACACCCCGGCGTGCCCCAGGAAGAGGCAGGAGGGCAGGGGCTGGGACAGGGTGAGCGACGGGGAGAGACAGCAGCACAGAGCAGAGCAGCACACGAAGTCAGACAGCTAGAGGATGGGGGAGACATACTGTGTGCTCTTCTCAAGAGGTTCTATACATGAACAAAGCGAAATCATGTACACAGATCCCTCTCGCCTTCTGCTTTTTTAATTAATTCAGATGGTAGACTACTATACCCACTGTTCTGAATTACTGTATTTTGAGAATTTTTGTTTTTTAAATCAGCATGGGGAAACATATCCTTTTTTTTAAAACAGCTGCATAGCATTCTGTTGTGTGGCTATAACAGGATTTCTTTATCCCGTCCCATTTGGGATGTTCCCATTTTCTTGCTCCCACAAACAATGCTATGTTGCCTATCCTTGTACTTCCATCATTGCATGGCTAATTCCCTTGGATAACTTCCTGGATGTGGAACTGCTAGACTGAAAATCCTGCTAGCATCCTGAGCCTGCTGCTCCATGTTGAGCATGGGAAGGACCTACTTGCCACAGGGAAGTCTTTCCTGAGACAAGGGGCGGGGGAGGGGTGCCATCAATGCGCGTCAGTCTTCAGAGCTGGACTCCAGCTTCTTCAGAGTCAGGGGGAACGTGACAAAACCAAGCACTAAAAAACCATTCCTTATTTTGTGTTTTATTTCTAAGAGGCCCCAAACAACAGAGTATAGTGTTTAAGGAAACAGGCTCTGAAATCAGAGCCAAACTTTAACATTCATTATCTAAGGGGCCCTAGAAAAATCATCGCACTGAATGTCAGATATTCCTTCTCTAAACCAGGGATAACAAGTACTGACACAGGTGGTAGTGATTACGACACAGCACACGGCAGCATTCAGAGACAGCCGTCACAGCCATGTTACTAAGACGGTATTTTTATTATTGCTATTGTTTTTGTTATTATTATCATTATTGCTTTTACCTAAAGTACCGAAGAAGTCGTTGCCTAGGAAAGGAAACCCAGGTCTGTTGGCCAGAACAATCATCCTAAAATCAGGGTGAATCACTACAACATTTTCTCTGCCGTTGACATGAGCAGAATCTGAAAAAAAAAAAAAATTCTATTTAGTTTTTATTGATAAAATTCTTAAGAATATCAAGTTACAGCCTTTAAAATAACATAAGCAGTCATACTGTCCAGTTATTTAAAAAAAAAACTACGAAATCTGGCTGTCAACAACTTGGTTGCAGGAAAAAAAATCTTTCTTGAGAATGTTTGCTTAAGAACAGAATACTGATAAAGCATATACTACTTATACAGGAACTCACATTTTTATGTCAATTCAATGTATATCTAAAAAGCAAATTTGTCCAAATGTTGTCTATAGTACTTAAATTTGGCTTGAGATGCTGTTATTCCTTAAAAGAAAAAAACGATAAGAATCCATAACAAGGGATAATCTAAAGGACATTCAAGGACAATATTGACCATCTCTTAGTGTTTCCAGATCAGCGGCTGCATCACTTTGCATAGCGACTACTGTCTGCAGCTAAGGAGTGATTCCTGTTCAGATTATGCACCCTGAAAACTAACCCTGTAGAATAAAGGTCTTCAACACCTAGTCAACCCATTAGTGCAATGCTGATTTATTTCCAATCAAGGAATTCTACCATACTTCTTAAAATAAATAATCTCAAGTTTACTAGAGTTTTCCCTGTGCAAATGTTTAAGGTATTAAAGGAACTGAATACTATCATTAAAAAATGATAGTTGTGAAGCACCTGCAGTTTTATTTGAGATGAGTTTGTATTTATACTGAGCTAATAACAACATTAATTTTAATATTGTAATAGAAGCATGTTAGAGCTTTAAAAAATTCCAGATAAAAATGAAAGGAAATAAATTTCATACATATAATTGAGAGATGAGTATAATAATGATTATATGTTGATATTCTCAGAGTAGAAAAATATGAAGCTGATTTGTCCTAAAACTACTGTTGAAACTTTCAAAGATACTCCGTTCTGTGGCTACAAACAGTGAAACTGACTAAGCTAGATTTTGAAATAATTATTTTTTATAAATGATTGTCAATAAGGACAACTTGAAGTCTATTGAACTTGAGGTCTTATTGCTTGAAGATAAATAGCTAAGGGTGTGATTTGATACCAGAAATGTAAAACTTGCATATATTGAAATAAAAGTTGCTTTTTTTCATACTCACTTGCAACAATGCGCCTTCCATCTGCTAGAATCATTTCCCCATTTTCAACCAGAGTTTTTAAAATACAGGTGACATTTGTTGGGGCCTTGTCTGCCTCATCTACTACCAGAATGTGACCCAATTTCACTGCTTTAACCTTGAAGACAGAACATTTATCATAAACAAAAACAAACATTTAAAGAATGTCAACGCTCATTGTTTTGGATCTATAATGGCTGGTTATATTTAAGTTACAGATACACTATCACAAAGAAAGTCTGTAGCACAGCTGGAAACAAAATTTAAGGACCTCCATCCACCAAAGGCTACACATTTACTAAACTGCTGAGTCTGCAGTAATCACTTTATTTCCCATTAGCAGTATAATTATTCCTATGTTGGCAACGTCTACAACATGCTACATACCAGAGTCAGGGAGATTTAAAACGAGTATAACACAGAGAAATTAAAGTGCCATGGGGGTTAAGTGAGTGAGATATCACAGTAAATGGTGGATTTTCAAACACCGCATTTGTTACGGCTTTAAAAGACTGTACCATTTTAACAGATCAGAATGGATGGTGAAGACGTGGGTATTCAAGACCAAGGGGATCAATGGTCAAACTCAAGAAATCCTGGAACACAGTGAGGGGAGAGTAAATATGAACAGTCTCTCTGGGCTGAAGCAGAGGTTAGATGTAAGAAACGAATGAATTGGGTCTGAAAGGTGGGATCAGGTCTCCACTACTAAAAACCTGATTGCTAGACAAAAAAAATATGTGCTTTCCCTCATCAAGTGATGGGTGTAACTAAAGACTGATGGGTTTAGACATGATAACAATGGAACTTGGGGCTACACTTTAGGGCATTTAATCTGGCAGCAATGTGTAGAATCAACTAAAAGGGGATTATCATAATAATTTGGTAAAAAAGTGGTTTGGGGACCTGATTTTAGGGTACAAGGCATGGGGGAAAATGAAAATTAGAAACATTAGACCGATCTGAAGAGTTTTCAGAGGTATAATCTAGTCTTGGCAACTGATTAGATGGGCAGAATGAGAAGGAAAAATAAGAAAAGATTCTATTATACGTCTTAGGTGACCCAGTGAATGGTACATTATGAAAAGTTAAGGTAAAAGCTAGGAAAAACTCTTTAAAACGCTTGCAGAGAGTGGATAGGAAGACATACTCAATGAAGTTAAATGTAAACCCAAAGATTATTTTTTTAAATAGTAAGAAATATGTCATAACATAAAATGGACCAAATCATAAGGTTTTCTCATTACATAGTTCTGGCAAATAATCGTAAGGAAATGCAGATTGAGAAATAGTGATTCCCCGTAACTTAAATATTTTATTCCATAGTCTAAAAAAACTGATTATGAATTTTTCTTTTTTAATTTTAGGATAAAAATAAAGTGAATTAAAAAAGAAGATGAAACATGGAGCTTCTAACATGAACCCCTGGCTTCACGTCCCTGTGCAGGGACAGCCAGGCCCCACCTGGGAGGATTCAGGCAGAAGATCCAAAAGACTGCAGCCCCCAGGGTCGGGGCCACTGAGGCTCTCGGGATGGCTTCTTGGTGCCATTGCTGCAAAGGAGTTACCTACACAGTGGGGCAGCCAGGCAGACCGGGACTTCTTCCGGCCTCATGTGTGAAGCGAGGAGTGGATCTTCCCAGCTGCCCAAAACACTGGGCTAATATTTCATTCATTAGAATCATTTTAAAAAACACTCCAGAAGCATTATCTAATTTCAAACTCTACACATTTGAAGCCAACAGAAAACTATTTTTCTCTTTTAAACTCTGGAATGGAAAAGAAATCATTAGAGGATTTTTATCATTCCCTAACTCTCTCACTCTGGAGACAGAACAGAATTAGAAACCATGTAATTTTCCCCAAATAATTTGCATTTAAATATCCACTCCCCAAATGACATACAAATGAGTACTTTCCAGTTAAGACTGAAATATATTGGAATCTGTGAAAGATTCCATAATCCCTGTCAAAAGCTGAAATACAACAATCACTCAAGAAACATACAGTTAAGAA